GTGAAACCGGAACTGATGTCACTTTCCGTATCAGATGCACCTTTTCCTGACCAGTACAGCCACGGGACACATCTAACCAAGCCGTCCTGTGATTGGTTAGATGGCAGGAAGGTCAGGGGGAGACATTGGGGGTCTATGACCAACCTATTACCAAACCTTACCAACCGTTCAGTGTCTGCTACCCCTCTCTGCCAATCCCTCAACTGGCCTCCATTCAATGTCCTCCACCCCTCTCTGCCAATCCCTCCACTGGCCTCTAATCAGTGTCCTCCACCCCTCTCTGCCAATCCTTCCACTGGCCTCCACTCAGTGTCCTTAACCCCTCTCTGCCAATCCCTCAACTGGCCTCCATTCAATGTCCTCCACCCCTCTCTGGCAATCCCTCCACTGGCCTCCATTCAGTGTCCTCCATCCCTCTCTGCCAATCCCTCTACTGGCCTCCATTCAGTGTCCTCCAATCTCTCTGTCAATCCCCCCACTGGCCTCCATTCAGTGTCCTCTACCCCTCTCTGCCAATCCCTCCAATGGCCACCATTCAGTGTCCTCTACCCCTCTCTGCCAATCCCTCCACTGGCCTCCATTTAGTGTCCTCTACCCCTCTCTGCCAATCCCTCCACTGGCTTCCACTTGCCCAATGAATAAAATTCAAAATACTAACAACTTACAAAAAAGCCATCCACAAATATGCCCCCAGCTACATCACCAACCTGGTCTCAAAATATCAACCAAACCGCTCTCTTCGATCCTTCCAAGACCTTCTGCTCTCTAGTTCCTGTGTTAAGTCCTCCCATGCTCCCCTTCAGGACTTCTCCCGAGCTTCTCCCATCCCATGGAACTCCCTAACCCAATCTGTCTGTCTGTCTCCTAATCTATCCATCCTTAGACGATCCCTGAAAACCTTTCTCTTTAAAGAAGCCTATCCTGCTTCTACCTAGTAAACCGCCATTTATTTCCTCCATCAGCTAATCCCCCCCCCACAGCTATTACTTTTTGTATCACTCAACCCTTCCTCCTAGATTGTAAGCTCCCAGGATCAGGGCCCTCTGTTTCCTGTTGTACCACATTGCATGGAACCCTGGTTGAGAAATCCTGATCTAGAGTTTATAGAAAAACTGGAAAGGTACATATGAATCCCCTTGGGACTTTAACGGCAGAAAAAAAAATAGAGGAAATATCTAAAACACCAATTTTTGATTCACATTCACATAAAGATTATGGCCAAAAGGCCTAAAAAACCTGATAGGGGTTCAACTACCGTTGCACATGCAATAAAAAAAGCACGGTCTACATGGTGTGACACCTGCCATCATTAATGACAAATCTTTTTACATCTAGTTGATCAGACAGATATCCCTGTGGTGGTCTTTTGGGTCCCTTGTAGTTGTGTGGTGAACTGTGGGGGCTCTGATGGCGAACTCCTTGTGACTCTAGGTGGACAGCTCTGATGGCGAACTCCTTGTGACTCTAGGTGGACAGCTCTGATGGCGAACTCCTAATGACTCTAGGTGGACAGCTCTGATGGCGAACTCCTGGTGACTCTAGGTGGACAGCTCTGATGGCGAACTCCTGGTGACTCTGGGTGGACAGCTCTGATGGCGAACTCCTGGAGACTCTAGGTGGACAGCTCTGATCTAGGTGGAACTCCTGGTGACTCTGGGTGGACAGCTCTGATGGCGAACTCCTGGTGACTCTAGGTGGACAGCTCTGATGATGAACTCCTGGTGACTCTAGGTGGACAGCCCTGATGGCGAACTCCTGGCGAACTCCTGGTGACTCTGGTTGGACAGCTCTGATGGCGAACTTCTGGTGACTCTAGGTGGACAGCTCCGATGGAGAACTCCTGGTGACTCTGGGTGGACAGTTTTGATGACGAACTCCTGGTGACTCTAGGTGGACAGCTCTGATGGCGAACTCCTGGTGACTCTGGGTGGACAGCTCCGATGGCGAACTCCTGGTGACTCTGGGTGGACAGCTCTGATGGCGAACTCCTGGTGAATTTAGGTGGACAGCTCCGATGGCGATCTCCTTGTGACTCTAGGTGGACAGCTCTCGATGGAGAACTCCTGGTGACTCTAGGTGGACAGCTCTGATGGCGAACTCCTGGTGAATCTAGGTGGACACCAGCCTTTATGGGTTGTTTTTACCAGTACTGGACATGGTCATACTGACATACACATTGACTCACAACTATACCCATCTGTTTCCCTGAAGGAGAAACTTTGTTCCGAAACATGTTGGGAGTTATTGGAAGACTACCCCACTATCAATCAAGATTTATTCTTGTGTATCGGTGAGTTTGTATTCTGTTTAATCACCATCAGGTTTTTTTAGACCTTTTGGCCGTAATCTTTATGCGAATAAAAATTGACAATTGGTCTTTTAGATCTTTCCTCTATTTTATTTCTTAACCACTTCCAGTCCGGACACTTTCACACACTCCCTTCCAGTCCGGACACTTTCCCCCCTTCCAGTCCGGACACTTTCCCCCCTTCCAGTCCGGACACTTTCCCCCCCTTCCAGTCCGGACACTTTCACCCCCTTCCAGTCCGGACACTTTCCCCCCTTCCAGTCCGGACACTTTCACCCCCTTCCAGTCCGGACACTTTCCCCCCTTCCAGTCCGGACACTTTCCCCCCTTCCAGTCCGGACACTTTCCCCCCCCTTCCAGTCCGGACACTTTCCCCCCTTCCAGTCCGGACACATTTCCCCCCCCTTCCAGTCCGGACACTTTCCCCCCCTTCCAGTCCGGACATTTTCCCCTCGCTTCCAGTCTGGACATTTTCCCCCCCTCTTCCAGTCCGGACGCTTTCCCTCCCCTTCCAGTCCGGACACTTTCACCCCCTTCCAGTCTGGGACACTTTCACCCCCTTCCAGTCCGGACACTTTCACCCCCTTCCAGTCCGGACACTTTCACCTCCTTCCAGTCCGGACACTTTCACCTCCTTCCAGTCTGGACACTTTCCCCCACTTTCAGTCCAGGACACTTTCCCTCCCTTCCAGTCCGGACACTTTCACCCCCTTCCAGTCCGGACACTTTCCCCCCCCTTCCAGTCCGGACACTTTCACCTCCTTCCAGTCCGGACACTTTCACCCCCTTCCAGTCCGGACACTTTCACCCCCTTCCAGTCCGGACACTTTCCCCCCCCTTCCAGTCCGGACACTTTCACCCCCTTCCAGTCCGGACACTTTCACCCCCTTCCAGTCCGGACACTTTCACCCCCTTCCAGTCCGGACACTTTCCCCCCTTCCAGTCCGGACACTTTCACCCCTTCCAGTCCGGACAATTTCCCCCCCCCCCTTCCAGTCCAGGCCAATTTTCAGCATTCAGCGCGCTGTCACACTTTGAATGACAATTGCGCGGTCATGCAACACTGTACCCATATTAATTTTTTAGCATTTTTTTGAGACAGATATAAAACTTTATTTTGGTGGTATTTATTCACCTCTGGGATTTTTATTTTTTTCTATATATATGAAAAAGTCCAAACATTTTGAAAAGAAAGTGTTTTTCTTATAAAATTTTGCAAATAAATAATCTTTCTTCTTCATACATTTTGGCCAAAATATATTCATCTATCTTTTTAGTGAAAAAAAACCAAATTAGTTTATAACCAAAAATTATAATTTTCAAAACATATTTTGACTTTTTTATTAATTTTTTTTATTATTATTTATGTTTTTGGGGTTTTTTTTACATACTGTCACCCTAGCAGTAGTGTCACCATGGTGGGGGGTGATGAAGATTTTTTTTCTTTTTTACACTGATTGCTTTTACACACCATAAAGGGCTGTAATATCAATAATTTCTCCTTCTCTCTGGCTGCATTCTTGCAGCCATTGAGAAATACTGTGAGAGCTGTGATTGGTCCCAGCTTGTCACACGGTACAAGGCTGTTGTGAATGGCCCTGTACCATGTGACCTCTGTGATCATTCACAGATTTCACACGTAGTAAGCAATGATGTCAGAAGTGACATCTTGCTTACTGCTATTCATGTGATCACTGATTGGCCAATCAGTGATCACATGATCGGGACCTCGCACAGAGGTCCTGTACAGCTATCGATGTTCTGCTGTGTCCTCTGGACACAGCAGGCACCGGATCGCGGTGTTGTGCGCTCCTAGGGAGCACGCATAGGCAGGGTAACGGGGAGGACATTTATAAACGGCCACCCACCCCTATACTGCTCCCATCCGGCCATTTATATACATGAGCCAGACGGGAAGTGGTTAACATCCCAAGGGGATTCATATGTACCTTTTAGGTCTTTGTATATGCAATTTGGGATATTGCGCAGTTACCACTTGTTTTCTATCACTAGGCTCACACCTTCCTCATCTCATCATTTCTACAGTACAATTCCTGCAATTTGCAAATATTGTGAGAAAAAATATTCTTTTCCAAATGCTACAAGGATGACGAAACACATCCCGGCATGCCAGAGGTGCCCTAAAGACATTAAAAATACTTTATGGAATGAAATGATGAGGACTAGAATGAAAGGGAGAGCAGCTTTTCCCTCCAGAGATCTCAGTCCAGAAACACTCTTTCTGCTGCTTCTGGATCATCGCAAATTGTAAAAAGCAAGTTTAGATTATTTACTGAATAAGCTGTATTTTTATTTCCAAGAATAATCATTCTATATACTCAGCATTTCATGTTCCCAGCGTAACAAAATGACTTTCAATTTATAAAAACTACTCCACATTTTTCTCATGGCTTCAAAATTTCTGGAAATTTTACATGTCTAGTTTGGACTAATGGTCGGTAGCCGATCAGGTGACCACAGTAACAGCCAATCACATATATGATCGCCGATCCCTCCTGGCCCTTGTGTTGTTTTTCTGCTCTTGAATAGAGACAAAGATACATTGTATACCAGAGGAGAAAAATTGTGAGTAAAATAAAGTGTATGCAAAAAAAAAAAAAACAGAAAAAAATAGCTAGTGAAGGGTTTCATTTAGGTCAGTGTCAGGTTTGAGGTTAGGGTCAAAGGTCAGGTTTAACCCCTTCCCGCCCTGAGGGTATAACAAATGTTAATGCCTAAGCACAATTCTGCAATGTTGACCTGTGTTAGTAAAACCGTCCGTATCATCACAACTACTGTACTTTGTACATCCGGGTGGATTATACCGAGATTTTTTTCAGGACAAATTGGGCTTTCATTTGGTGGTAAATGGTAATGGAGATCTCCTGATTTTTTTGTCAATTATCAAAGGAAAACTGGCCCAAAACAGTAAAAAAAAAATAAATATTTTTTTTTTATATAGCTGTGTTTCTTGTTACTACCATAACCGACCACCAAAGAACAATCCAAAATAAAATCTCCAGCTCTTGACGATCGCAGCGATACCAAATATATATATGGATGTTATTTGTTGTTTGCACCCGGAGTACCGCCCAGAAACAATAGTGCGCATTTTGTTTTTGTCTTTTTTTACCTAAAACACACTGACACTGACTGACACTGATTTTTTAAATTCTGACCTTTCACCCTGACCTTTTGACATTGACCTTTGACCCTGACCTTGTTCCAAACACTAACCCGGGCACTGAACTACATCAAACCTCAATCTAGGTATTTTTTCTTTATTTTTTTTATTTTTTAATATTTATTTATGTTTTTCTTTTTTTTTTTTTTTTTTTTACAAACATTTTTTTTTCTCTCTATGCCAAAAGTTAGAGAGATACAATATATAATAGAATGTATATAATATACAATGTATAATAGAATGTATATAATGATACAATGTATAATAGGATGTATATAATGATACAATGTATAATGGAATCTATATAATGATACAATGTATAATGGGATGTATATAATGATACAATATATAATAGGATGTATATAATGATACAATGTATAATAGGATGTATACAATGTATAATGTGATGTATATAAGGATACAATGTATAATGGAATCTATATAACGATACAATGTATAATGGAATGTATATAATGATACAATGTATAATGGGATGTATATAATGATACAATGTATAATGGAATCTATATAACGATACAATGTATAATGGAATGTATATAATGATACAATGTATAATGGGATGTATATAATGATACAATGTATAATGGGATGTATATAATGATACAATGTATAATAGGATGTATATAATGATACAATGTATAATGGAATGTTTATAATGATACAATGTATCTCCCTCCTCCATTCATAGAGAGAGAAAAAAAAAACAAGGGGGCCGGGCTGTACACAGTGACTGATCCCTGTGATAGCCAATCAGAGGCTTTTACAGCGATCATGTGACCCGGAATCGGGAGTCCTGGGTCCCAATCGTTAGAACGGGACCCGGGGCTCTCAGTGACACTGCGGTCTTTGTGCTGGGAGCGCGCTGTGCGGCGTGATCGGAGCACAAAGACAGGTACGCAAATATATATTTGTGTGCTGTCCCCATCAAGGGGGTTAATGTATTTTAGGTAAGATTGAAAAAATGCATTTTTTAAAATTTTAGTATTAGTGTGCAGGATAAAAAAAAAGCAAAATGCGCCACTATTGTGTTTGCGCCTTACTGCGGGTACAAAAAACAAATAACACACACATAGATGGTATCGCTGCGATGGTCAGGAGATGGAGAATTCATTTTGGGTTGTTCTTTGGTGGTAGGTCATGGTAACACCAAGAAATATACAGCTACATTTGAAAGATATACATTTTGGTACTATTTATACCAATTTTCCTTTGATGATTAAAAAAAAATCAGGAGATATCCATTACCAATTACCTCCAGATGAAAGCCCAATTTGTTCGGACTCCTGGATGTACAATATGTACAGATTTACCAAAACATAGTTGTGACAAAACTGTTCAGGCATTGAGATTTGTTCTACCGTCATGAAGGGGTTAATAACATTTCCCGAAGCACCGACTGCCGCACATAGGTGTTCCAGGTTTAGAAATAAGCCCCGAAGATAAAGCAATGACATGAATAATTCTTCAAAAAGATACATATTAAACGTTTCCCGTGTTAGCTTTGAGCTAGATTTAAATATTTCATTTTTTTCCCCCCCAAAGCATCAGAGTACTAATATTACCTCATTAAAAAAAAAAAAAAAAAGCTGGACAGATTTTATAACTGGGGGATTTTTATTACATAATATAACACCGGATAATAAAGGGATCTCATTTTTGGCTTGCATCCTCCTTTTCCCACAAGCCATAGGTGACAGACTGAATGGAAACATTGAATGGATACCTGGCAGCACTTTTTTTATTTATAATCAATATTATACTAAAAAGAGTTCAACTGACAAAGACAAGAGGCCAAAGTATTCAGAGGGAAAAAAAAATTATTTATTTTTTCTGTGAGACAAACCAAATAAAATAACCTTTTTTATTGCTACGTTGCAGCATCAACATAACCAATGAATTCAAATATATTTAAAACCCAAAAATTTTGTTTTTAAGCATATATATATATATTTTAATTATTTTTTTTGTATAGGTAAATTCCCATTTTTTTTTTTTTTTTTTAAAATGGGAAATTACCTCTACAAAAAAAGCTGGACGGATTTTATAACCGGGGGATTTTTTATTACACAATATAAAACCGGATAATAAAGGGATCTCATTTTTGGCTTGCATCCTCCTTTTCCCACAAGCCATAGGTGACAAACTGAATGGAAACATTGAATGGATACCTAGCAGCATTTTTTTTTTATTATAGTCAAATATTATACTAAAAAGAGTTCAACTGACAAAGACGAGAGTCCAAAGTATTCAGAGGGAAAAAAAAATTATTTATTTTTTCTGTGAGACAAACCAAATAAAATAACCTTTTTTATTGCTACGTTGCAGCATCAACATAACTGATGAATTCAAATATATTTCAAACCCAAACATTTTGTTTTTAAGTGTGTATGTATATATATATATTATATATTTTTTTTTTGCATAGGTAAATTCCCATTTAAAAAAAAAAAATGGGAATTTACCTATACAAACAAAGTTGGACGGATTTTATAACCGGGGGATTTTTATTACATAATATAAAACTGGATAATAAAGGGATCTCATTTTTGGCTTGCATTCTCCTTTTCCCACAAGCCATAGGTGACAAACTGAATGGAAACATTGAATAGATACCTGGCAGCATTTTTTTTTAACTATATTCAATATTGTACTAAAAGAGAGTTCAACTGACAAAGACAAGAGGCCAAAGTATTCAGAGGGAAAAAAAAAAAAAAAAATATATATATATATATATATATATATATATATATATATATATATGTGAGACAAACCAAATAAAATAACCTTTTTTATTGCTATGTTGCAGCATCAACATAACCGATGAATTAACATATATTTTAAACTTAAACATTTTGTTTTTCAGTATACATATATATATATTTATTTTTTCTTGTTTTTTTGCATAGGTAAATTCCCATTTTGTAAAACATTTTTTACCTATACAAAAAAAGCTGGACAGATTTTATAACCGGGGGGATTTTTATTAGATAAAATAAATAAGACCGGATGATAAAGAGATCTCATTTTTGGCCTGCATTAACCAATGAGTTAAAATATATTTAAAATCCAAATATTTTGTTTTTAAGTATATATATATATATAGTATATATATATATATATATACAGTGGGGATGGAAAGTTTGGGCACCCCAGCTAAAGATTTGTATTAATGTGCATAAAGAAGCCAAGGAAAGATGGAAAAATCTCCAAAAGGCATCAAATTACAGATTAGACATTCTTATAATATGTCAACAAAAGTTAGATTTTATTTCCATCATTTACACTTTCAAATAACAGAAAACAAAAAAATGGCGTCTGCAAAAGTTTGGGCCCCCTGCAGAGTTAATATCTTGTACTGCCCCCTTTGGAAAGCTGAGACCTGCCAGTGTCATGGATTGTTCTCCATCATCGTCTGGGAAGACCAGGTGATGTCAATCTCAAAGGTTTTAAATGCCCAGACTCATCTGACCTTGCCCCCAACAATCAGCACCATGGGTTCTTCTAAGCAGTTGTCTAGAAAACTGAAACTGAAAATAGTTGACGCTCACAAAGCTGGAGAAGGCTATAAGAAGATAGCAAAGCGTTTTCAGATGTCAATATCCTCTGTTCGGAATGTCATTAAGAAATGGCAGTCATCAGGAACAGTGGAAGTTAAAGCAAGATCTGGAAGACCAAGAAAAATATCAGACAGAACAGCTCGCAGGATTGTGAGAAAAACAATTCAAAAACCCACGTTTGACTGCAGGATCCCTCCAGAAAGATCTGGCAGACACTGGAGTTGTGGTCACTATTTCCACTATAAAGAGATACTTGTACAAATATGGTCTTCATGGAAGAGTCATCAGAAGAAAACCTCTTCTACTCACGTCCTCACCACAAAAATCATTGTTTGAACTTTGCAAAATGAACATATAGACAAGCCTGATGCATTTTGGAAACAAGTTCTGTGGACCGATGAGGTTAAAATGGAACTTTTTGGCCGGAATGAGCAAAGGTACGTTTGGAGAAGAAGGGGCACAGAATTGAATGAAAAGAACCTCTGTCCAACTGTGAAGCATGGGGTTGGATCAATCATGCTTTGGGGTTGTGTTGCAGCCAGTGGCACAGGGAACATCTCACAAGTAGAAGGAAAAATGGATTCAATAAAATTTCAGCAAATTTTGGATGGTAACTTGATGCCATCTGTGAAAAAGCTGAAGTTAAAAGAGAGGATGGCTTCAACAAATGGATAATGATCCTAAACACACCTGGAAATCCACGGGGGGTTACATCAAGAGGCGTAAACTGAAGGTTTTGCCATGGCCTTCGCAATCTCCTGACCTCAACATCATTGAAAATCTATGGATAGACCTTAAAAGAGCCGTGCGTGACAGACAGCCCAGAAATCTCAAAGAACTGGAAGACTTTTGTAAGGAAGAATGGCAAAGATCCCTCAAACAAGAACTGAAAGACTCTTGGCTGGCTACAAAAAGCGTTTACAAGCTGTGATACTTGCCAAAGGGGGCAGTACAAGATATTAACTCTGCAGGGGGGCCCAAACTTTTGCAGACGCCATTTTTTTGTTTTCTGTTATTTTGAAAGTGTAAATGATGGAAATAAAATCTAACTTTTGTTGACATATTATAAGAATGTCTAATCTGTAATTTGATGCCTTTTGGAGATTTTTCCATCTTTCCTTGGCTTCTTTATGCACATTAATACAAATTTTTAGCTGGGGTGCCCAAACTTTCCATCCCCACTGTATATATATATATATTTTTTTCTTTTGTATAGGTAAATTCCCATTTTTTTTATTTTTTTTTTTTAATTTTCAGTAGATTAGATTAATGGTTAAAAACCCACTAAAAATAAAACACTATACTTATATGGTAGCTAAATGTCAAAATATTATATTTCAGCTTAGGACTTGTCCCCAAACCAACATATAATACTCCATAAGGAGGAATGATCAAAGATGGCAGCTGTGTTCCAGAGCTAAAGGTTCAGGCGATCTTCTTGAGGATCTTTGTATCAAAGGTTTGGGATTTTTTTATTTGCATATGTTGTGGGGATACCTTACGGCCCAATCACGCCTGTGCATTGTGGCACCACGCTGAAACATGGGAGTTAATGTCTCCTTGAGAGTTTTGGGATCCTACGATGAGGCAGAGAAGTTAAGTGTGGTGGTCGAAAGTGAGGGTGCAAGGTGGGAATACTTCTTTGTTCTCCTGTTTGGTGCTCTTTAATTTTCCTCTGTGTTTTTACATGGGGGGGGGAGGGGGTCTACAGCATAGGCCGTGTCCACGCCATTCTTCAGAACTGGAGCCAATAGCAATCAAGACAAAAGGATGAATTAAGTACCAATAGTCAAAAGGTATGTCCAAAGGTGTACCGCCGTAAACTAAACGTCATTACGTGTGGCGGCCTTCAAACTCATTCCCGTTCTAACACAAGGGTGTCAAACTGGTGGCCCTCCAGCTGTTGCCAAACTACAAGTCCCATCATGCGTCTATCTTTGGGAGTCAGGCTTGTAACTGTCAGTCTTGCAATGCCTCATGGGACTTGTAGTTTGACAACAGCTGGAGGGCCGCCAGTTTGACACCCGTGTGTTAGAACATGCCAGGACTTGGAGGGCTGCCATGGCCCGTGTCAAAAACCTAACAATGTCTGGCACAAGTACCAGAAGTAAGTTCTAATACCGCGTATTCTGAGACAGTGAAGGGGGGGCTGAATGTCCTTTACAAACTATTGTCCACCAACAATTGACGTCGTCCTACACCAGTTGTTGCAAATTTTGCAAACTCAATAATTGCTTTGGAAATAAAAGCTTCTGTCTATATTTATACCGTCTGATACTGTAAACCAAATGTTGCTTGGGAGTTTCTTCACCAATGAGTAGTTATTGCCTCACTGATAAGTAACTAGTGGCACCAATCAACTTTTCAGCCATCTGAAGGAGACAAATGACCACCAATGTAAGGGGCATTTCCACCCACTGACCACCAATGTAAGGGACATTCTTCCCACTGACTGACCCAATGTAAGGGACATTCTTCCCACTGACCCCCAATGTAAGGGACATTCTTCCCACTGATCACCAATGTAAGGGACATTCTTCCCACTGACCACCAATGTAAGGGGACATTCTTCCCACTGATCACCAATGTAAGGGACATTCTTCCCACTGATCACCAATGTAAGGGACATTCTTCCCACTGACCTCCAATGTAAGGGACATTCTTCCCACTGATCACCAATGTAAGGGACATTCTTCTACCCACTGACCCCCCATGTAAGGGACATTCTTCCCACTGATCACCAATGTAAGGGACATTCTTTCACCACTACTGACCCCCAATGTAAGGGACATTCTTCCCACTGACCCCCAATGTAAGGGACATTCTTCCCACTGATCACCAATGTAAGGGACATTCTTCCCACTGACCACCAATGTAAGGGACATTCTTCCCACTGACCCCCAATGTAAGGGACATTCTTCCCCTGACCCCTCCAATGTAAGGGACATTCTTCCCACTGACCCCCAATGTAAGGGACATTCTTCCCACTGACCACCAATGTAAGGGACATTCTTCCCACTGATCACCAATGTAAGGGACATTCTTCCCACTGATCACCAATGTAAGGGACATTCTTCCCACTGACCATCAATGTAAGGGACATTCTTCCCACTGACCCCAATGTAAGGGACATTCTTCCACTGACCCCCAATGTAAGAACATTCTTCCCACTGACCCCCAATGTAAGGGACATTCTTCCCACTGACCCCCAATGTAAGGGACATTCTTCCCACTGATCACCAATGTAAGGGACATTCTTCCCACTGACCCCCAATGTAAGGGACATTCTTCCCACTGACCCCCAATGTAAGGGGCATTCTTCCCCACTGACCCCCAATGTAAGGGACATTCTTCCCCACTGACCCCAATGTAAGGGACATTCTTCCCACTGACCCCAATGTAAGGGACATTCTTCCCACTGACCCCCCAATGTAAGGGACATTCTTCCCACTGACCCCCAATGTAAGGGACATTCTTTCCCACTGACCCCCACCAATGTAAGGGACATTCTTCCCACTGACCCCACCAATGTAAGGGACATTCTTCCCACTGACCCCCCACCAATGTAAGGGACATTCTTCCCACACTGACCTCCAATGTAAGGGACATTCTTTACCCACTGATCACCAATGTAAGGGACCATTCTTCCCACTGACCACCAATGTAAGGGACATTCTTCCCACTGATCACCAATGTAAGGGACATTCTTCCCACTGACCACCAATGTAAGGGACATTCTTCCCACTGATCACCAAATGTAAGGGACATTCTTCCCACTGACCCCCAATGTAAGGGACATTCTTCCCCACTGATCACCAATGTAAGGGACATTCTTCCCACTGACCCCCAATGTAAGGGACATTCTTATTCTCTTCCCACTGACCCCCAATGTAAGGGACATTCTTCCCACTGACCCCCAATGTAAGGGACATTCTTCCCACTGACCCCCAATGTAAGGGACATTCTTCCCCACTGACCCCCAATGTAAGGGACATTCTTCCCACTGACCCCCAATGTAAGGGACATTCATCCCACTGACCCCCAATGTAAGGGACATTCTTCCCACTGACCCCCAATGTAAGGGACATTCTTCCCACTGATCCCCAATGTAAGGGACATTCTTCCCCACTGATCACCAATGTAAGGACATTCTTCCCCACTGATCACCAATGTAATGGGACATTCTTCTTCCCACTGATCACCCATGTAAGGGACATTCTTTCCCCACTGACCCCCAATGTAAGGGACATTCTTCCCACTGATCACCAATGTAAGGGACATTCTTCCCACTGATCCCCAATGTAAGGGGACACATTCTTCCCCACTGATCACCAATGTAAGGGACATTCTTCCCACTGACCACCAATGTAAGGGACATTCTTCCCACTGACCCCCAATGTAAGGGACATTCTTCCCACTGATCCCAATGTAAGGGGACATTCTTCCCACTGATCACCAATGTAAGGGACATTCTTCCCACTGACCCCCAATGTAAGGACATTCTTCCCACTGACCCCCAATGTAAGGGACATTCTTTTCCCACTGACCCCCAATGTAAGGGACATTCTTCCCACTGACCCCACCAATGTAAGGGACATTCTTCCCACTGATCACCAATGTAAGGGACATTCTTCCCACTGATCACCAATGTAAGGGACATTCTTCCCCTGGACCTTCAATGTAAGGGACATTCTTCCCACTGACCCCCAATGTAAGGGACATTCTTCCCACTGACCCCCCAATGTAAGGACATTCTTCCCACTGACCCCCAATGTAAGGACATTCTTCCCACTGACCCACCAATGTAAGGGACATTGCCCTTAACAGGACATTCTTCCCACTGATCCACCAATGTAAGGGAACATTCTTCCCCACTGACCACCCCCCAATGTAAGGGACATTCTTCCCCACTGACCCCCACCATGTAAGGGGCATTCTTCCCACTGACCCCCAATGTAAGGGGGACATTCTTCCCACTGACCCCCAATGTAAGGAACATTCTTCCCACTGACCCCCAATGTAAGGGGACATTCTTCCCACTGACACCCTAATGTAAGGGACATTCTTCCCACTGACCACACCCCAATGTAAGGGAACATTTTCCCACTGACCCCCAATGTAAGGACATTCTTCCCACTGACCCCCCCAATGTAAGGGACATTCTTTTTGCCCACTGACCTCCAATGTAAGGGACATTCTTCCCACTGATCACCAATGTAAGGGACATTCTTCCCACTGACCACCAATGTAAGGGACATTCTTCCCACTGACCACACCAATGTAAGGGACATTCTTCCCACTGACCACCAATGTAAGGGACATTCTTCCCACTGACCATCAATGTAAGGGACATTCTTCCCACTGACCCCCAATGTAAGGGACATTCTTCCCACTGACCCTCCAATGTAAGGGACATTCTTCCCACTGACCACCAATGTAAGGGACATTCTTCCCCACTGACAACCCCCAATGTAAGGGACATTCTTCCACTGACCCCCAATCATGTAAGGGACATTCTTCCCCCACTGATCACCCCCCAATGTAAGGGACATTCTTCCCACTGACACCCCCAATGTAAGGGACATTCTTCCCACTGACCCCCAATGTAAGGGACATTCTTCCACTAAGACCTCCCACCATGTAAGGGACATTCTTCCCACTGATCCCCAATGTAAGGGACATTCTTCCACTGAACCCCCAATGTAAGGGACATTCTTCCCACTGATCACCAATGTAAGGGACATTCTTCCCACTGATCACCAATGTAAGGGACATTCTTCCCACTGACCCCCAATGTAAGGGACATTCTTCCTTCCACTGATCACCAATGTAAGGGACATTCTTCCCACTGATCCCCAATGTAAGGGACATTCTTCCCACTGACACCCAATGTAAGGGACATTCTTCCCACTGACCACCAATGTAAGGGACATTCTTCCCACTGACCCCCAATGTAAGGACATTCTTCCCACTGATCACCAATGTAAGGGACATTCTTCCCACTGATCACCAATGTAAGGGACATTCTTCCCACTGACCCCCCCAATGTAAGGGACATTCTTCCCACTGACCCCAATGTAAGGGACATTCTTCCCACTGACCACCAATGTAAGGGACATTCTTCCCACTGATCCACCAATGTAAGGGACATTCTTCCCACTGAACCCCCAATGTAAGGGACATTCTTCCCACTGACCCCCAAGTAAGGGACATTCTTCCCACCGACCCCCAATGTAAGGGACATTCTTCCCACTGTGACCCCCCAATGTAAGGGACATTCTTCCCCACTGAACTCCCCCAATGTAAGGGACAATTCTTCCCACACGACCCCCAATGTAAGGGACATTCTTCCCACTGACCCCCAATGTAAGGGACATTCTTCCCACTGACCCCCAATGTAAGGGACCATTCTTCCCACTGACCCCCCATGTAAGGGACATTCTTCCCACTGATCCCCCAATGTAAGGGACATTCTTCCCCACTGATCCACCAATGTAAGGGACATTCTTCCCCACTGATACACCAATGTAAGGGACATTCTTCCCACTGACCCCCAATGTAAGGGACATTCTTCCCACACTGACCCCCCAATGTAAGGGACATTCTTCCCACTGATCACCAATGTAAGGGACATTCTTCCCACTGGACCCCCCAATGTAACGGGACATTCTTCCCACTGACCCCCAATGTAAGGGACATTCTTCCCCACTGATCCCCAATGTAAGGGACATTTCTTCCACTGATCCCCAATGTAAGGGACATTCTTTCCCACTTCTTCCCATTGATCCCCAATGTAAGGAAACATTCTTCTTCACTGATCACCAGTTTGTTAGGGCCTTTCACTGACCAGTAGTGTAAGAGAGAACTTCTTAAATTCACCATCAAAGTTACGGGGTCATTTTCCCACTGTAAGGAGCATTTCTTCCCACTGACCACCAGTCTACTAGGCTCCCTTTACTGACCACAGTGTAAGAGAAAGTGTCTCCATTTCATAGTTAGTCTGGCTGAAAAAAGACAAAAAGTCCATCCAGTTCAACCAAAAAAAAAATAAAAAGTTATAATCCTCACACCCACAGGTGATCCAGAGGAAGGCAAAAAAAAACCAGCAAAGCACGATCCAATATGCTCCTGCAGGGAAAAAATCCTTCCTGACCCCCGGAGAGGCAATCGGATATTCCCAGGATCACCTAATCACCCACTATGATGAGAGCACTGTAGGTTTTTTTTTTTTCAAATATTACTAAAAATGTATTTTTAGAGGGCATTCTCTACATGTATAAATACATCAGTGGTTCATATAGTGAGCTCAGTAGCTCAGTGTAGTTATTCCCCCTGAGGTCATCACAGAGGACAAGGGGGCGCTCTTTCTGGAGGAAAAGAGATTCAATCTCCCCAAACATGGAAAGGTTTCTTCACAGTAAGAGCTGTGAGAATGTGGAATAGACTCCCTCCAGAGTTGGTTGTGGCAGCTCAGTGGATTGCTGTAGGAAAGTCCTGGATTCTTTCTTGGATACACAGAATATAACTGGATATAACATTTACAGTTGTGTCCAAAATTATTCAACCCCCAATGCTGTAAAGGGTTTAGGGACTAGATAGTGTACATTTGGAATTGTATTCAGAATCAAATCCTACAAGGACGTTGTAACTACCCAAATGCAACTAAAATGACATCAATTGTTTATGTAATAACAGTAGTAAATGGTTCTTATGTGGTTTCTTCATTGCCACAATTATTCAACCCCTTAAAGACTACCACTCTGAAGAACAGAGGTTCATACAGGTGCTTTCCATCAGTATTGAAAACACCTGTGGATGTCACCGGAGCAGCAATCAAGCATAATAAGCACCAATTAGGCAGCTTTAAAATGACTGTGATACTCAGCTCCTTCTAGACATTTACTGGTGTGGTTACAAACATGGTGAAGGCAAGAGAATGGTCCAGGAAGACAAGAGAAGAGGTGATTTCTCTTCACAGGAAGGGCAATGGCTATAAGAAGATTGCAAAGATGTTAAACATACCAAGAGACACCTTAGGAAGCATCATTCGCAAATTCAAGGCAAAGGGCACTGTTGAAACGCTACCTGGTCGTGGCAGAAAGAAGATGCTGACATTCGACTGCTGTGCGCTACCTGAAGCGTAGAGTGGAGAGAAGTCCCCGTGTGACTGCTGAGGAACTGAGAAAAGATTTGTCAGATGTGGGTACAGAAGTTTCAGCCCAGACAATAAGACGCACACTGCGTACATGAAGGGCCTCCGTGCCAGAACTCCCAGGCGTACCCCCTTGCTGTCTCCAAAGAATAAGAAGAGTCGACTGCAGTATGCCAAAATGCCATGTGGACAAACCACAAAAGTTGTGGGATAGTGTTCTGTGGACTGATGAAACAAAATTAGAACTGTTTGGGCCCATGGATCAACGCTATGTTTGGAGGAGGAAGAACAAGGCCTATGATGAAAAGAACACCTTGCCTACTGTGAAGCATGGTGGAGGGTCAATCATGCTTTGGGGCTGTTTTGCTTCTGCAGGTACAGGGAAGCTTCAGCGTGTGCAAGGTACCATGAATTCTCTTCAGTACCAGGAGATATTGGATGGAAACGTGATGCAGTCCGTCACACACCTGAGGCTTGGGAGACGTTGGACCTTTCAACAGGACAATGATCCCAAGCATACCTCCAAGTCCACTAGAGCATGGTTGCAGAGGAAAGGCTGGAACATTTTTGGAGTGGCCATCGCAGTCACCAGACTTAAATCCGATTGAGAACCTCTGGTGGGACTTAAAGAAAGCAGTTGCAGTGCGCAAGCCCTAAGAATGTGACTGAACTGGAGGCCTTTGCCCATGAAGAATGGGCGAAGATACCCGTAGATCGCTGCAAGACACTTGTGTCAAGCTATGCTTCACGTTTAAAAGCTGTTATAACTGTAAAAGGATGCTGTACTAAGTACTAAGATTGAATGTCACTTGGGGGTTGAATAAAACTGATAATGCTGTGAGCACAGAAAAGACATTTGTGGTTATTTCATTATAACTGTTATGTTATATTTGTCTGACCTACAAGTGCCTCTTTAATGTAAATGTAAGCAAGATGAACTGAATGATCAAAAGCAATGTCAAACTGGCCAAAACACTCAATTTCAGTGGGGTTGAATAATTTTGGACACAACTGTATAGGGAAAAAGGTATCCAGGGAATATCCGATTGCCTCTCGGGGGAGATCAGGAAGGAATTTTTTTCCCCCTGCAGGAGCAGAATTGGATCGTGCTTTGCTGGGTTTTTTGCCTTCCCTCTGGATCAACTGTGGGTGTAAGGATTGTAACTATTTTTTCTATGGTTGAACTGGATGGACTTTTGTCTTTTTTTCAGCCAGACTTAACTATGTAACTATGGAACTATGGAACATATGGGAACTATGTAACTGAGTGGAACTATGGAACTGTGGAACTGTGGAACTATGGAACAATGTAACTGTGGAACTGTGGAACTGTGAAACTATGTAACTATGGAACTGTGGAACTATGGAACTATGGAACTTGTGGAACTGTGAAACTATGGAACTATGGAACAATGTAACTGTGGAACTGTGGAACTATGGAACTATGGAACTGTGGAAATGTGGAACTATGGAACCATGGAACTATGGAACTATGGAACTGTGGAACTATGGAACTATGTAACTGTGGAACTGTGGAACTATGGAACTATGGAACAATGTAACTGTGGAACTGTGGAACTATGGAACTATGGAACAATGTAACTGTGGAACTATGGAACTGTGGAACTGTGGAACTATGTAACTATGGAACTGTGGAACTATGGAACTATGGAACTGTGGAACTGTGGAACTGTGGAACTGTGGAACTGTGGAACTGTGAAACTATGTAACTATGGAACTGTGGAACTATAGAACTGGAACTATGGAACTGTGGAACTGTGGAACTATGGAACTCTGGAACTGTGGAACTGTGAAACTATGTAACTATGGAACTGTGGAACTGTGGAACTGTGGAACTATGGAACTGTGGAACTGTGGAACTATGGAACTGTGGGAACTGTGGAACTATGGAAACTGTGGAACTGTGGAACTATGGAAACTGTGGAACTGTGGAACTGTGGAACTATGGAACTGTGGAAACTATGGGGGGGGCAACTGTGGCAACAATGTAACTGTGGAACTATGGAACTATGGAACAATGTAACTGTGGAACTGTGGAACTGTGGAACTGTGGAACTATGGAACTATGGAACTGTGGAACTGTGGAACTATGGAACTATGGAACAATGTAACTGTGGAACTATGGAACTATGGAACAATGTAACTGTGGAACTGTGGAACTATGGAACTATGGAACTGTGAAACTATGTAACTGTGGAACTGTGGAACTATGGAACAATGTAACTGTGGAACTATGGAACTATGGAACTATGGAACTGTGAAACTATGTAACTGTGGAACTGTGGAACTGTGGAACTATGGAACAATGGAACAATGGAACTGTGGAACTGTGAAACTATGTAACTATGTAACTGTGAAACTATGGAACTATGGAACTGTGGAACTGTGGAACTGTGGAACTGTGAAACTATGTAACTATGGAACTGTGGAACTATAGAACTATGGAACTATGGAACTGTGGAACTGTGGAACTATGGAACTCTGGAACTGTGGAACTGTGAAACTATGTAACTATGGAACTGTGGAACTGTGGAACTGTGGAACTATGGAACTGTGGAACTGTGGAACTATGGAACTGTGGAACTGTGGAACTATGGAACTGTGGAACTGTGGAACTATGGAACTGTGGAACTGTGGAACTATGGAACTGTGGAACAATGTAACTGTGGAACTATGGAACTATGGAACAATGTAACTGTGGAACTGTGGAACTGTGGAACTGTGGAACTATGGAACTATGGAACTGTGGAACTGTGGAACTATGGAACTATGGAACAATGTAACTGTGGAACTATGGAACTATGGAACAATGTAACTGTGGAACTGTGGAACTATGGAACTATGGAACTGTGAAACTATGTAACTGTGGAACTGTGGAACTATGGAACAATGTAACTGTGGAACTATGGAACTATGGAACTATGGAACTGTGAAACTATGTAACTGTGGAACTGTGGAACTGTGGAACTATGGAACAATGGAACAATGGAACTGTGGAACTGTGGAACTATGGAACTATGGAACTGTGAAAATATGGAACTATGTAACATTCCTGAGCATCAAGCATGCTAGTACCCCACATCCTTTATCTTTTGATTCTTAGATCCACAACTCACTGTCCACACGTATGTCTCGCTCGCTGTATATATCATACTTATTAGCCGCAGTTCCCTGAGACCTAGAGTTATTTCAGGGGTTCCTCCGTATTAAAGAGAATGGGAAATGCTGCTGTGAACGAGGAGCGCCGCGCCATACAAACCTTCCAAGATCTGTCATAGTGACAATATAAAAGAAATCTCTCTGCTGTGACCTGGGCCCCAATGGCCTTCCCAGCCTAATATCACGCTATGGATATTATTACATTTATTTCTCGATGTCCTATAACTCCCATCATTCACAATCGTTCCATCAGTAACAAGGAATGCAGGAAACAATACATCCGTGTCATGTTAATAACTCACGCCTTTATGGAAGGGTTAATAGGGAAACCATAAAGGTTTGGAGGAAATATCATTTTTTTAAAACATTTTTAAACCTATATTTTTTGTCAGTTTTGTTTAACATTTATACAGTATATACAATATTTGTTTTTACAGAAAAAAAAAAATTTAATTTAAATATATTCTTCAGTAGCTACAAAGGATAGAAATCCACATTTCTTGCATCAAATGCCTTTGCAAACCCAAATATTACTTTGTAAAAATAGCATTGACATCATCATTGTGCTGTACATAGCCTGTGCAGAGAGAAGAGCTGGGGGGGGAGCAGGCCAGCAGGCCCAACCCACTACAGAAAACAGGGGCGGAGACAAGGGAAGTCACCCACGCACAAGGAGAGTGACTAGAGCTGCGGGAGGGGCCCACTGGACTCCACCCACCACAGGAGGGGGCGGAGATGAGTCCAGTCACTGTGCACATGGAAAGCGAGCGGCAGTGACAGGTCTTTGTTGCGGGAAGATGCTGCAGTTTGCAGAGGGAAAATGTCTTTTTTTTTCATGCTGGATCACCACACAGATCTGAAGGAATTTCACAAAGGATACCGAGATCCAAGTGAGCATACGCATGATGAATAGGTTCTTGCTGAAAAGGATCTACTGTTAAGGGAAGGGTCTATTGTTTCTGCTGCTGGAGAGTCTATTGATGCTGGCTGCTGGGGGATCTATTGTTACTGGAGGCAATCTATTTTTGCATGGAAGTCTATTGTTTCTGGGGAGGTTGCTGTTGCTGATGGTGGATCTATTGTTGCGGGTGGGGGTATTATTGAAAATGATCTACTGTTAAAGGAGGGTCTATTGTTGCTGGTTGCTGCACAGTCTATTGATGCTAACTGCTGAGTGATCTGTTGTTGCTGCTGGGGGGGTCTACTGCTAGGGTGGTATTTTGTTACGGGGGTCTATTGTTGCTGGGGGGGACTATTGTTGCTGGCTGCGGGGGTATCTATTTTACTGCTTTTTTCTGCTTTACCTAGCAACGCAAAATAATACTCTGTCTATACTAAAAGGGGCAGTAGTGGGAGGTGGGCAGGGGGTGGAACCAAGGGGCAGTGCTCAGAGGTGTGTGGGGGGGGGGGAGACAAGGGGTAGTGCTCAGAGGTGGGTGGGGGGTGGAACCAAGGGGCAGTGCTCAGAGGTGTGTGGGGAGCGGAGACAAGGGGCGGTGCTCAGAGGTGTGGGGGGGGCGGAGACAAGGGACGGTGCTCAGAGGTGTGTGGGGGGCGGAGACAAGGGGCGGTGCTCAGAGGTGGGCGGGGGGGCAGAGACAAGGGGCGGTGCTCAGAGGTGGGCGGGGGGCGGAGACAAGGGGCGGTGCTCAGAGGTGGGCGGGGGGGCAGAGACAAGGGGCGGTGCTCAGAGGTGTGTGGGGGGCGGAGACAAGGGGCGGTGCTCAGAGGTGGGCGGGGGGGCAGAGACAAGGGGCGGTGCTCAGAGGTGGGCGGGGGTGGAGACAAGGGGCGGTGCTCAGAGGTGGGGGGGGGGCAGAGACAAGGGGCGGTGCTCAGAGGTGTGTGGGGGCGGAGACAATGGGCGGTGCTCAGAGGTGTGGGGGGGGCGAGACAAGGGGCGGTGCTCAGAGGTGTGTGGGGGGCGGAGACAAGGGGCGGTGCTCAGAGGTGGGCGGGGGGGCAGAGACAAGGGGCGGTGCTCAGAGGTGGGGGGGCGGGGGGTGGAGACAAGGGGCGGTGCTCAGAGGTGGGCGGGGGGGCAGAGACAAGGGGCGGTGCTCAGAGGTGTGTGGGGGGCGGAGACAAGGGGCGGTGCTCAGAGGTGGGCGGGGGGGCAGAGACAAGGGGCGGTGCTCAGAGGTGTGGGGCGGAGACAAGGGGCGGTGCTCAGAGGTGGGCGGGGGGGCAGAGACAAGGGGTGACTCAGAAGGGGGAGTTTCTCCACCTATTCTCTGAGAGCCCTGATTTGGACAGTACCATTGACAGGAAGTGTGTTGAGCTGCATTGACGGTCATTACTGAACGCAGGCTCAATGTGAGGACTGGAAACGATGTCCGTGTGCCCTGATAACACAATGCCAGTGCCTTGGTGCGCATTGAGGAAGAAATATCGGCATGCTGCATTTTTATGCAGCAAAACGCTCAAAAACGCAATGTGCCTATGAAAATTTTACAAAAAAGTAAGTAATTTGACCCTTAATGTGGCCTCTACAGAGGAAAAAAAAATAAAAAAAGCATGTACCTCTTTTAGGGAAACTCCACCCATGGGTGGATACTGTGGGTGGGACTAACCAATTCCTTTATAATCCAGGGCCAGAAGACCTATGAGGTAGGGTGTGACAGGAGTGACTTTGGGGGGTGGGGAGACCCCTGTCTCAGCTCCCCATATCCCTATTATGTGTAAGTCACTCTGTGCCTGTTAGGGGTACAGGGTGGAATGTCCTGATATTGTGTAGACATGTATAGGCGGGGGTTGGTAATCGTTTACTGCCATGTGGTGCATCCCATTGTTCTATTGTGTGTCTTGCTTGGGGGCAAACTATTATGGGATGTATGTGTCTATGTGTATTGGTTTGGTGGGGGGAGTTTCCGGCAGCCCTTCCCCCTGATGGGGTTGTCTGATTTGGTTTGCCCCGCCCTGTGTCCATATGCAGTGAGGTGGATTGTTCCCTTGAATGTGTATATATCTTGTATCTATGTTAAAATAAAGCAATATACTGTATCTCCTGGTTTCCTTCAAGTCTGGTGCTGTCTCGTCTTGTATGGTCAGCGGTGGTGTCCGGGGATCTGTGTTCGGACAGGGAAGCGGGAAGCGGAAATACCCTAGTGCAGTCGGGGTCCGGTTCCGTTACATAGGGGTTGATGGCAGGGGCGGACTGACCATTCGAGCACTTTCATAGGATTTTTTGGGTGTGGGCAAGGACACAGGGGCCCCATGATCCCCTATTGCCCAGGGGCCCCATGAGTTGTCAGTCCGTCCCTGCCTGGTGCCACAATTAATGTGCATACGTAGATGCGGCCATGGGCTCTGATGGCTGGGGAGGCCTGGCAGAGCCCATCTAGGCTTTTTTGGGTGTGGTTTGAGTGTAGGTGAGGACACAGGGGCCCCATGATCCCCTACTGCCCGGGGGCCCCATGAGTTGTCAGTCCACCCCTGGTTGATGGGAAACTTGGACTATAACCTACACTTAGTAGCCTACAGAACATCTCAATACAGGTTATAGTCCAAGTGGAGGACACCCTTCGGGATAGGCCCCATCGGAGAACCCACCTAACCTATGCCTGAGGAAAGAGGAAGTGCTGGTTGCATGGTTGCTGGTTGCTGGTTGGCATCTCCATGTTCAAAATGAGTTTGGTCGGTACAGTAATGCTAACGTTGGGTGGAAGGAGGAAGAGGTGTCCTTGGGAAGAACTGTGCGCTTTGTTCATGTTACAGCCCAGCATTAAATGGACTGACTGTGTGGACATTCTATTGGCCTTTGGCCGGGAACATGGGCGACCCAGATGGTGGAATCCAAGAAAAAGGAAGAACAATCAGTGCAAAAACTGCCACCATGCAAATGAATTAAAGAATTGTCCATAAAGTCCAGTAAATAGGGCTGCAAAAAAGTCCACGTGGCCCTAGTGCAAGCTTCCTATAGCAGTAGTAGCAGAACTCTGTATAAAATGAAGAAGAAAAGAAGCGCCTCTAAGCGCAGCATAAACCACTCAAATGTAGAACAACTCACATTTATACATCATAAAAAAGGCTCATAAGGTGCAGTCTCATAGCGGTGGAAGAACGGCTGCGTCCCGGTGGTTGCAGGAGAAAAAGCCGGCCGGCATGTGGAGTCTCCTAAAGATGGAGTCTGGAACGCACGTTGAGGCGCGACGTCGGCATGATGATGCGTTTCAGAGCATGCGCTAACCTCTGAGGGCGGAAGCGCGCTCCTTGGTCCTTTGTAGCTTGACAAAGGAGCGCGTTTCCGCCCTCAGAGGTTAGAGCATGCTCTGAAATTCGTCGCTATGCATGCTGGTCCTTGACATCATCACACCGATGTCAAGCCTCAACGTGCGTTCCAGACACCATCTTTACGAGACTCTCGACGTCGACGTGATGACGTCAAAGACCAGCATGCATAGCGACGCATTTCAGAGCATGCGCTAACCTCTGAGGGCGGAAACACGCTTCTTTGTCAAGCTACAAAGGACCAAGGAGCGAGCCTCCGCCCTCAGAGGTTAGCGCATGCTCTGAAACGCATCATCATGCCGACGTCGCGCCTCAACGTGCGTTCCAGACTCCAACTTTAGGAGACTCCACATGCCGGCCGGCATTTTCTCCTGCAACCACCGGGACGCAGCCCTTAGAAGTTAGCGTATGCTCTGAAACGCATCATCATGCCGACGTCGCGCCTCAACGTGCGTTCCAGACACCATCTTTATGAGACTCTCGACGTCGGCGTGATGACGTCAAAGACCAGCATGCATAGCGACGCATTTCAGAGCATGCGCTAACCTCTGAGGGCGGAAACGCGCTCCTTTGTCAAGCTACAAAGGACCAAGGAGCGCGCTTCCGCCCTTAGAAGTTAGCGTATGCTCTGAAACGCTTCATCATGCCGACGTCGCGCCTCAACGTGCGTTCCAGACACCATCTTTAGGAGACTCTCGACGTCGGCGTGATGACATCAAGGACCAGCATGCATAGCGACGCATTTCAGAGCATGTGCTAACCTCTGAGGGCGGAAACGCGCTCCTTTGTCAAGCTACAAAGGACCAAGGAGCGCGCTTCCGCCCTTAGAAGTTAGCGTATGCTCTGAAACGCTTCATCATGCCGACGTCGCGCCTCAACGTGCGTTCCAGACACCATCTTTAGGAGACTCTCGACGTCAGAGTGATGATGTCAAGGACCAGCATGCATAACGACGCATTTCAGAGCATGCGCTAACCTCTGAGAGCGAAAGCGCGCTCCTTGGTCCTTTGTAGCTTGACAAAGGAGCGCGCTTCCACCCTCAGAGGTTAGTTCCAGACGCCATCCTTAGGAGACTCCACATGCCGGCCGGCTTTTTCTCCTGCAACCACCGGGACGCAGCCATTCTTCCACCTCTATGAGACTGCACCTTATGAGCCTTTTTATGACAAATAAATGTGAGTTGTTCTACAGGAGAAAAATGGAAGGTGCCCTGGGCCGGCGTGACCATTGATGGTGGCAAACCAGGGGCCTATTAACAAGCATATCACCGCATTTTAAGTCACGTCAAGGCGCATGCATTTTTCTGTGCATTGCGGTGTGAATAAGCGCCAAGGAGGGAATGGAGGGGGAGAAGTCACTGTCCTGACCCATTCGGTTCTCTGTAATTTCCAGCTCCCGCTGAAGGCTTTGTACAATACGGGTATGAAAAACAGAAGTCAAGAGCTCCACCTACATATGAAAATACAATAAAAATATTCCTATGCAGTATTTCATATTAACCTCATAATAACATTTTATTTTTCAGTCCCGACCATATTGAAGAAAGGAAGGAAGGAATATATTTACAAAAAACCAGCACACATTCCCGACGGTTGGAAGGATTCGTATTTGGTAAGTACCCGGCACGCCTATTAGGTTTTGCGGAAGCCAGTGACACCTTATTTATTACAGTACTGTCGCATGCTGCCGTCGGGTTCTTTCACCTTTTTTTTTTTTTTTCACTTACAACATGATGCACCATCCACAACCTCAGAAGCAGGCATCTCGTTGGCTTTGAAACCTTCATTGGCTTGTAAGCCCTGGGAGAACCCAAAATCGCAACTATGGAAAAGGTCTCCAAGAAGTGCAGAAGGCGTGGTGCATTCCAAGTGGTATTGCCAACACAGGAGGGCCACCATCTAGAATTCTCAAAGGAAAAAATGTTCACCAGCACATCTTAAGATCCTCCTGGGCATTTTACATGTGTTATATGGCTAGCAGGATTCATGGTGCCCCATTGGTACACGCTGGAATATTGTGATAGTTGGGAACAATGGTGATTGTCTGTTTGGCAAGTTAGTCAAGTTTGCCTAGGTCAACCAATATTTAATTGTTTACTGAATGCTGGGGGTGGTCAATGTTGGGTATGGGAGAGCTTGCCTTCCTATTGTTTTTTGATTCTTTTTTATATATGTTGCATGCTCTCATTTTGTTGTCAACATCTGCCTGATAAAGGAGCTAGTTTAGGCACCTTCATTGGCTTGTAAGCCCTGGAGAACCCAAAATCGCAACTATGGAAAAGGTCTCCAAGAAGTGCAGAAGGCGTGGTGCATTCCAAGTGGTATTGCCAACACAGGAGGGCCACCACCTAGAATTTTCAAGGGCAAAATGTTCACCAGCACATCTTAAGATCCTATTAGAGCAGTTTTTTAGTCAATACAGTGACATATTTGAGGTTAAACTAGCTCCTCCATCAGGCAGACAGCACCCCATGATCTTGGACTATAGGTGGTTGCCATGGTTGGGCCTAAAGCTTCCTGCTGTCATCCTGGTGACACAAATGGTGCCAATACATACAGTATATGCGTAATAAGTGGCGAATGCTGGGCATTTTACATGCGTTATATGGCTAGCAGGATTCATAGTGCCCCATTGGTGTATGCTGGAATATTGTGATAGTTGGGAACAATGGTGATTGATTGTTTGGCAAGTTAGTCAAGCCCACCTAGTTCAACCAATATTTAATTGTTTACTGAATGCTGGGGGTGGTCAATGTTGGGTATGGGAGAGCTTGCCTTCCTATTGTTTTTGATTCTTTTTATATATGTTGCATGCTCTCATTTTGTTGTCAACATCTGCCTGATAAAGGAGCTAGTTTAGGCACCTTCATTGGCTTGTAAGCCCTGGGAGAACCCAAAATCGCAACTATGGAAAAGGTCTCCAAGAAGTGCAGAAGGCGTGGTGCATTCCAAGTGGTATTGCCAACACAGGAGGGCCACCACCTAGAATTTTCAAGGGCAAAATGTTCACCAGCACATCTTTAAGATCCTATTAGAGCAGTTTTTTAGTCAATACAGTGAC